GGAAAAATCCGCTTGTTTGGGAGCAGAATGGTATAGCAGGTAAGATGAGTTTTGAGCCAGATTGACTGGAGTCATTACTAACCTCATTGGTCAATGGTCTGCTAGCCATACTTCCTGAAGATTTTGGAAAGTAAAATGAGTTAATGTATGTAAAGTGCCTGACAAATGTTGTTGCTGTTGGTTACAGTCAAGTCAGTTCTAACTCACAGCGACATTGTATAGGGTTTCCGAGAAGTGGCTGGTCAGTTGAACCACCGACCTCATGATTCAAACTGCCCTTGAAGTCCACTGCTGTATCCCACAGTATCACACCAGTTAATTACCATCATCAACGAAAATGACAGTAGTGCATAATTATTGAGGACTGACAAGTAGTCCTCAGTAATTATGAACTGCTGTCATTTTCGTTGATGATGGTGATCAAATTTTTGTTGGTAGGTGCCATCAAATCTCAATTCTAACTCTTTGTAACTCTCTGCACAGTAGAACAATACGCTGTTCAGTCCTGCATCATCCTCACTATAGTTATGCTTGAGTCCATTGCAGATGCCACTGTGCTATCTCATCTAATTGGGGTTCTCCCTCTTTTTAAAGTGACGCTTCACTTTTCAAAACATAATGTCTTTCTCCAGGGACTGTTCCCTGCAGATAATATATCCAAACAAAGTATGAGAGAGGAAGTCTTGCCTTCCTGGCTTCTAGGAAGCATTCTGGCAGTATTTCTTTCAACACAGATTGGTTTGTTCTTTTGGCAACCCATGGTACTTTAAATATTTTCCTCGAATGCCGTAACTCAAATGCATCAATTATTTTTCAGTCTTCCTTATATTCATTGTCCAACATTCACATGCATATGAGGCTGTTGAAAATATTATGGCTTGGGTAAGTTGCACCTTAGTCCTTAAACTGATATCTTAGTTCTTGAATAGTTTCAAGAGGTCATATGCAGCAGTTTTACCTAATGCAATACATTATTTGATTTATTTACTACCACTTCCTTAAGTGTTAATTCCAAATTCAAGCAAAATGAATTCTTTGACAACATCGTTCATTACTCCATGTACTCCAGTTGTGAGGATTCTTGTTTTCTTTACAAACTTGAATTTATTAGGAATTTAATACATCTGTGTGATCTTTGGCACGTCAAGTAATATCTTCTTACATCCATTTTGCTCTTTTCTATCTTTTCAATGACTTTGTCCTTCTTTGATGTGTGATATCCCAAGTATCCATTACATAACTCATCTAGTCTTCAGTCTCTAGTGTTCAATGAGTCAAATCTACTCATGAAATAGTGTCTAAATTCAAATGTGATATACTAAAGGTCATATTTTGATTTGCATGAACTTTTAAACAATTTTATTTAGCTTTTACCTGAGTGTGCAGATGAATAATTGATGATCTTTTCTGCTTTCATCCCCTGACATTGTACTGACCGATGATATTGAGCTTTTATATTCTCTCTTTCCTACCACTCGTCTGTCAGTTTGTCATACTGTGATGGTTTGGGTGTTGCTGTGATTCCTTCAGCTATAACACAGGTACTGTAAATATCAGCATCACCCACAGTGGACAGGTTGCTGCTAAGCTTCCAGACAAATACTGACTAGGAAGAAGGAGAGATGGACTACTTCAGAATATTTACTCACTGAAAACTTTGTGAATAGCAGTGGAACACTGTCAGCACCCAAATATTGACTATTGAAACATGATGAAGAGCACCAGAATAGTACCATATGTAGTGCCGGAGGATGAGCCGCTCAGGTTGGAAGGCACTGAAAATACGACTGGGGAAGAGCAACCTCCTCAAAGTAGAGTTGACCGTGATTACTTCCCTTTACAACCTTCATTTGCTGATGGGCATAACTCAAAATGAAGAGAAATAGCTGTAAACATCATTAGTAATTGGAACATGGAATATACAAAGTATAAATCTTTGGAAATTTGGAAGGTGTTAGAAATGAAATGGAGCACATAAACATCAAGATCCTAGGCATTAGTGAGCTGAAATGGACTGGTATTACCTGTTCTGAATCTGCCGATCACATTTTTTACTATGCCGGGAATGACAATGGAAGAGGATGGTGTCGTCATACTCATCATCAAAAAGAACATACCAAGATCTGTGATGAAGTAAAACTCTGTCCATGATAGGATGATAACTCATACAGGGAAGACTGTTATTCACATTTACTCGCCAACCACTAAAGCCAATGATATGAAATTGGAGAATTCTGCTACAGTCATTTTTGAGATACCTTCAGCAAAATTTTACTTGCTTGTTTTATAAATGATGTTATTAGATAATCTTCGTGTTCAATTGGGTTGGTTACCTTTCTTCGAAATGAGCACAAATACAGATCTCTTCTAATCCGTTGACCAGGTACCAACTTTCTTGGCATAGACAAGTAGGCACCTCCAGCGCTGCATCAATTTGTTGAAACATTTTAATCTGTATTCTTTCCATTCCTGGAGCCTTTTTTTTTCCCCCAGGGCCTTCAGTGCTGCTTGAACTTCTTCTTTCTGTATTATATGTTCTTTATGATATGCTATATAGTTAAAGGTTTGAACATTGACAAATTCTTTTTGGTACAGTGGCTCTGTATTCCTTCCATCTTCTTTTAATGCTTCCCGTATCATTCAGTATTTTGCCTGCAGAAACCTTCAGTTGTTACAAACTGAGACTTGCATTTTCTTCAGTTCTTTCCTGTTGAGACATGGTGAATACGTTCTTCCCTTTTGGTTTCCTAACTCCAGGTCTTCTTCACACATTTTGTTACATTATTTTGTCTTTTGACAAAATAAGGCCTTTTATTTCCTTGTTTATCCCCGTTACTTTAGTTTTTCTATGCTCAAGAGCAAGTTTCAGAGTCTTCTCTCACATTAATTTTGTTTTTTTTCTTTTGTTTTGTCTTTTTAATTATCTTTTGTTTTCTTCATGTATCATGTTCTTGAGGTCCTACCACTCTTCTGGTTTTTGGTCATTAGTGTCTAATGCACCAATCTGATCTTGAGATGGTCTCTAAATAGAGGTGGGATATACTCTAGGGCATATCTTGGCTCTCATGGACTTGTTTTAATTGTCTTCAGCCTCAGCCTGAACTTGCATATGAGCAATTGGTGCTTTGTTTTGGCTGATGGTATTGAATTTCTTTTTCCATTTTATCTTCCCGTTGATGTAGTTAATTAGATTTCTGTATATTTAATCTGGTGTGGTCGACATGTTTTGTTGCTAGGTGACATCGATTCGGTACTGATCATAGAGACCATAGGCACAACAGAACGAAACCCTGCCTGGTCCTGCACCAATCTCACAATCATTGCTATGTTTGAGCCCACTGTGCCAGTCCATCTTGTTGGGAATCATCCTCTTTTTTTCTACCAAACATGATATGCCTCGCCAGGAAATAGTCCCTACTGATAATATTTCCTAAGTATGAGAGACGAAGTCTGGCCATTCTGGCTTTGTGGCTATCCTGGCTTCCATGGAGCATTCTGGCTGTACTTCTCCCAACATAGATTGGTTTGCTCTTTTGGCGGTCCTTGGTACTCTTAATATTCTCTTCCAATACCACAGCTCAACTACTTCAATGCTTCTATGGTCTTCTTTATTCATTGTCCAACTTTCACTTACCTATGAGGTTATTGAACAATACCATGGCTTGGGTCAGGCACACCTTAGTCCTCAAATTGACATCTTTGCTCTTGAACACTTCCAATATCATAGCGACACATAAGCCTCAAAAGTACAACAAATTGACAGATAAGTGGTTGAATTTTTTTTAGAGCATTTTTACTTTTGTAGGAAAATCACCAAGTTACCTCTCCCCTGCACATTATTTCTATTAACATATTGCAGCATTGTAATTTCATGTTTTTCCTAGCCAACAAACACCATTTCTACCACCTTTTTTTTTTTTTTTTTTCCTCCCTGTGTGTGACTCAGAGCATCATTGGACTTAGTTTCTATTTGACTATTTTCTCCTTTTATAACTTGATGAATCCCTCAGCCATTCAATCTGGTTATTGTTGGTAAATGCCTAACTCATAGTGACCCTGTATAGGGTTTCCAAGGAGTGACTGGTGGGTGGGTTTGAACTGCTGACCTTGAGGTTCAAGCAGACCTTATGGTCCAGGGCTTATCCTATAGTGTCACACCAGAACTCCATTTAATCCAGACTCACCCAGTTTATTGTAATGTGACCAGACATATACCAGAGAGTATACATGAGCTACCCAATATTACCTAGCAATTTATAGTCAGAATCAGCACTAGAAAATGGGTCTTCAGGTTCTGAGGCTTATGTTTTTTTATGTGTGTGGTTGATGAATGGCCTTTTCTTAGGATATTAATACAAAGGGGAGATTTACACTATCGTTGTATGTAAGCACAAAAGTATATCTTAATGCAATGTTAAATATTTTTTTATAGGATAAACTTCAATGAAAATGAATAGGACACTTTTGTATTCAGTTGTTGTTGTTGGTAAGTGCCTTTGCAACTCATAGCAAGCCTGTATAAGGTTTCCAAGGCTTTAAATTTTCACAGGGACAAAAAGCCTCATCTTTCTCCTGTGGAGAGGCTAGTGGGCTTGAACCACAGACCTTGTGGTTTGCAGTCCAGTGCTTATCGTTTGGAGCCACCACACTCCCTTTATGTTCAGTTGTTGTTAAGTGCCGTTCAGTCAGTTTCCTACTTACAGCCACCCTGTGTAGGGTTTCTGAGAAACAGCTGGTGGGTTTGGCCGTGTGGTTAGCAGTCCAGTGCTCATCCTACAGTGCCACACCAGTAGACGTACTTTTAAAGGCACAAACACCATTCTTTTTCTTTGTTGCTGATTTTCTAAATCTCCCCTTCATGGAGATTTATTCATTAGTGGGTAATTTACTAATTTTATATTCTAAATGATTTCTATTATGTAGATGACTATTTCCAGATACTAAAAGTTACAATGTGGAATTCTCACATAGTGTTGGTTTTGTTCTTGTTCCCTCTCCAGGTTTCATTGCTTCAGACATGACATCCAGACACTCCAGCACCCAGTTGTGGTTAATTACACATTATCATGAAATGGGATCGTTGTACGACTATCTTCAGCTTACTACCCTGGATACTGTTAGCTGCCTCCGAATAGTGCTGTCCATAGCTAGTGGTCTTGCACATTTGCACATAGAGATATTTGGGACCCAAGGAAAGCCAGCCATTGCCCATCGAGATTTAAAGAGCAAAAACATCCTGGTTAAGAAGAATGGACAATGCTGCATAGCAGATTTGGGTAAATTTTTAAAAATATCTTTTAATCACTATTTTTACTTTGCTAGCACTCCAGTGTTTAGCCAGATTACATTCATTTTTTTCTCTTTGCCTACTATTTTATTATGAAAAATTTAAGATATGGATAAAAGTTAAAGAATTCTATAATGATCCCCCTATATATGTACAGCCAAGATTTTACCATTAACATTTAACTTTTGTTAAATTACATCGCATATCTATCCATTTCCCATCCATCAGTTCATGTTGTTTTTCATTATATTTCAAAATAAACTGCAGATAAATGAACAGTACCACCAGCTGCTTCTCAGAAACCGTATACAGGGTCACTGTGAGTCAGAACTGACTCAACAGCACTTAAGAACATCAAGAACAAGCTGCTGTAAACTTCAGCATACATACCAGAATGTTATTAACTGGAATTTATTAGGTTTAATATTTTCCTCTTCTCAGATGAAATTTACATATCATGAAATTTTTAAATTCCTACATTCACATTCTGTGAGGTTTGAGAACTGCTTTATAATCTAGAATGCCTGTTGTGAGAAAACCAAATCAGACATTGTGTCATTGAGTTGATTTCTGTAGAACAGACAGGAAAAAATAAAACTGCTCCATAAAGTTCCTGAAGTTGTATGTCTGTATGGGAGCAGACAGACTCATCTTTCTCCCAAGGAGTAGCTGGTGTATTTGAACCACCAAACTTGCAGTTACTAGCCCAGTACTTAGCCCACTGTACCACCAGAGCTCCTTCCTATTGTGATTGTTGTTGTGTATTGCCATTGAGTCTGTTCTAATTCACAGTCACCCTGTACATGGTTTCTGAAGTACAACAGGTGGCTTTGAACTGCCGACCTTGGGGTTAGCAGCCCAGTGCTTTTCCTACAGTGCCACACCAGGACCCCACCTATTGTGAGAGGCTTTCTAATATCCCCAGAAAATTACCTCATGCTTGTTCAATTAAGAATTATCTTCCCCATTACACTCTCAGAAGTAACATTTGAGGTTGTCTTCTTATTTCATGAGAGGAGGCACACAGTTAATAACCTATGGAATGATTTTGTCTTAAATATGATCTCTTCAGTAAGCCACTCAAAATACCAATTGAAAAGAGGGGGGAAAAAAATCCCTAAACCAATTACACTTTGCTCTATTTGGAAATCTCTTTCTTAAAATGTTAGGATAGTGCTCAGTGTAGCTTTAGCCACATTATAAATATTAGTTTCATTTATAATGACATAAAAAAAAATATTTATCCCGTTGTTGCTGTTGTTAAGTGCCCTCAAATTGGTTCCAACTCATAGCAACTCTATATAGCGTTTCCAGGGAGCGGCTGATGAGTTTGAGCTGCCAACCTTGCAGTTCAAACCAACCTGTGGTCAAGTGCTTATCCTGCAGCACCACACAAGGACTCCATATTCATCCTCAGAATATTTGCCAAGTAATTGTGGTAATAAGAAGTAAAGTCTAATAATCATTATTAATTTCAATAGACTATTGAGACGTCTCTATTTGATTAAAGTGGCTTATATTATATTAATATCATTGCAGGATCCCTGGTAGCATAGTAGATTACAAGTTGAACTGCTAACTGGAAGGTCAGCAGTTCGAATCTATCAGTCGCTCCACTGGAGAAAGATGACGTTTTCTGCTACCATAGAGATTCACAGCCTCGGAAACCCTATACAGGGTTGCTATGCGTTGAGACCGACTTGGTGGCACACAACCATCACCAGTATCATTGCAGTTATTATTAGACTGAGACAGGTTTATACTATTAGTTTTAATTATGTAAAAAAAAGTTTTTAAAGTATTTTTTATTTTGAAATATGAGCACTTTGGCACATCAAGAAAACATCTTCTTTGAATCCCTTTAAAGCCTTTGCTTTCACATTTATTTTACAATGTTTTCCAAATGTGAGTGAAAACATCTTTAGGATAAGTTTTGAAAAGGCATAACACTAAAGTTCTTTGTGGGCAGGTTTTAGTTGCAGCGCAGAAGACAGTGTCAAGAGCCAGAGTAATTTGGGTTTGAGCCCTGACATTCTCAGTTATTCGCCCTGTGCTTTTGTGCCAGTCTCTAATGTATCTGTTTACTTCTCCCAAGTACTAACACAGTATGTGGGGGTCAGAGTGAAGGGAGCCTTTAGTACTTGACAAACCGTGTGCTGTATTTCTGGATTGTTTGACACGTTCATAAAAATGTGACCATGTATTACTTATGTAACTAAAAGAAACAATTATGCCTACTTTTTAGGGTTCTTTAAAGTCTTGAAAATTGTAAATACATAGAAAATAAGGAACATCGAAATAGTAGCTACTGTTATGTTCCAGTCTTTCCCGGAAGATGAACAGATTGAGCCCGCACTCAGCCTTGGTTTATGGGACATGGTTAGGAGGGTTTTGCCGTCAGTCCAGCTAGTTAATTCTCCAGCGACATTTCTTCTGGCCTGCAGCCTTCCAATCGGATACATGGCGTGTTGTTGTTAAGTGCCATTGAGTTGGCTCCGGCTTATAGCAACCCTGTGTAGGATTTCCAAGGAGTGACTGTGGGTTTGACCTATTGACCTTACAGTTAACTCTCCAGTACTATCCCACAGTGCCACAACAGTAGACATGGATAGGTATCAAAATTTGTTTTTAAAAACCAAGCCCACTAAGTTGATTCTGACACATTAGGGACCCTGTTGTATGGAGTTTCAGAGGTTGTAGAGCTTTACTGGGGCAAAAGCCTCATCTCTCCAGTGGAGCCACTGGTGAGTTTGAACTTCCAACCTTGTGGTTAGCAGTCTGTTGTTTAGTAGGGAGTAGATATAGTACAGGAAATGACTCTGATAAGACCATGATTTGTTACATATTTTTCATCTTATATTTGGAAAATAAAGATCATTCATTAGAAACAGGGTTCTTTTGATAGTAAGTAATGCACAAAGACCACTATTCAATAATTTTTCCAAGTTATTATTATAAGGAATGTCCAATGTACAGAGAAGTTGGAGAAAAAGTATCAGAAATGATCACTCATAAGCTTAACATTGAAAGTTTAATAATTGTCCAATTTTGCCATATTTGTTTTATCTGTGTGATTGTGTATGGGTGTATGTGTGCTAAACCTTTTGAAAATTAATTGCAGGCATCATAGCATTTTACTTCTAGATATTTCAAAATGCATCGCCTAAAATTGGATAGTTTACCTTTAGATGTTGTTGTTGTTAAGTGCTGTAGAGTCCGTTCTGAATCATAGCTACCCTGTATAGGGTTTCCAAGGAGTGACTAGTGGGTTTGAACCTGTATGTATTCATTCAGTGCTTAATTATTGCAACAACAGATAGTTTTCTATCATCATTTAATACCCATTTTCAAATTTTTTCTATGTTCCTGAACAAGAATTCAATCAGGGCTCACACACATTACATATGGTTGGTGTGTTTCCTTAGTTAGTGTAATAGTTGCCTCTTGGTTGTGGTTATATGCCTTGGAGTCAGTTCTGATGCGTAGCAGCCTTGTATAGAGTTTCCAAGGCTATAAATCTTTACGGGAACAGGAAACCTCATCTTTCTCCTATGGAACAGCTGGTAGATTTGAACTAACTTTGTGGTTAGCTGCCCTATTTATTTGCTACCACAGCTCCTATTACTGCCTATTGTTAAGTGCTGTTGAGTTAATTCTGACTCATAGTGACGCTGTATAGGGTTTCCAAGGAGTTGAGTTTGAAAAGCCAACCATAGTGATTCAAAGCAACCTTGCAGTGCAGTGCACTATCCTGCAGCACCTCCTACCGATTACTGGGGCTTCATATACTTTTAAATGTAGCAGCTTAAAACAACAACCATTTGTTAGCTTTCATTGTACCCAAGAGTCAGGAATTTTGGAATAGCGTAGCTGTGTGGTTCTGGTTCATGGTTTCTTGGGTATTGCAGGCCAGGGTTTTAGTTACCTGAAGTTGACCTCTAGGGTGGCTCCTTCACATGGCTTTTGGCAAGAGGCCTTAGTTCTTCATCATGTAGGACTCCCCACAGGGCTGTTTGAGTGCCCTCATTATGTGATGAATAAGCCAAGAGAGAGCAAATATTTAACATGAGATTTGTGCGTTGAGTTAAGAACCCGTTTAATGCTCTCTGGACTCTTGACTCTGGGGCAGTTGGATAAAGAAATGCCTGTAGATTTTATTACCATTATTGCTCAGATGGACAGCTTTCCCTTGAAGCATGAAACAGTACCTGTAGCAGTATGCCATTTATAGAGTGACATATTACCTAAATTCTCTACCTCACACTGTTTGAAAATTGATAGGCATTGTGTTAAGATTTGAGAGATAATCTACTTCTTGTTAATCCACTTTGGAGCTCATGTTTAACATATAAAGGTGTTTTCCTGTGGACTTCAGTCAGTGACCTCATATTGGTTTAGTGCGAAACATTTTGTCTTTACAGGTCTTCATGTATTAATATTTACAGAATGTTTTCTGTGACATTAGTTCTTTCTTCTGTTCGCACTCTAGAAATCATCACAAAGGGTATTCCAGAGATGATTTTGTTTGACTATGAATGCCACAAGAGGGCACTTTCGGTTGGGATTGGTTTACAATCCTTCAGTGGACTTCTATGAAAAAGGTGGAGAGCTGATTGACAGTTTCTTTTTCCTTTTAGGCCTGGCTGTCATGCATTCCCAGAGCACCAATCAGCTTGATGTGGGGAACAACCCCCGAGTGGGCACCAAGCGCTACATGGCTCCTGAAGTTTTAGATGAAACCATCCAAGTGGATTGTTTTGATTCCTACAAGAGGGTCGATATTTGGGCCTTTGGACTTGTTTTGTGGGAAGTAGCCAGGCGGATGGTGAGCAATGGTAGGTATCTAATGTAGTATAATAATGTCCTTGTCTAAGTCCTCTTGATTCTGCTTCCTTTAAAGGGTGAAAGGGAAAATTTAATTCCAAATAGTTCCCTGATTCATACCTGTTAAACTCTAGGCATACTTACTTGATTTTTACTTGGTAGGTAGAATGTAATGGTGTTTTCAGTACACAAGAGGGAACGACTGTTGAAAAAGAATCTTTCTGGAAAAGACTTCAGTTTTTCATTTGATTGATCTATATTTTATTCCTTTCTTCCTTGGTCCTCCTCCTTTTCTTCCCACTCTTCCTCCTTTCTCTGCTCCTTTCACAGGGATGGTTTGCTTGAGGAGAACGCTCCAGTAAATCTAAGGATGAATTCTGCTATTTTGGATACTTTTGCTTTTTTAGTTTGGATTTTGAAAAAAAGATGCAGGTTTTACTCCCTTGTAAAAAGCAGGCTGTGTCTTTTGAGTGAGTCAGTTAGATTTCAATTCAGGAAGCCATGGTTAGGTTCTCACCAGTAAAGTTGTTTAATGAATTGATGTTGCTTTAGACATTTGTCATTTTTTAATTATGCCCCCCATACTAGAATTTTATGTATCAAAATCAGCCACAAGTACATTGTCTTCTAAGAGCAGTAAGTATACTCTTTGAAGTTACATACATCCCATCTACCCACAATTGGTCATTATAGTAGAATCCTTTAGACAAACTAGATCAACCTCTTCATAGATTTACAAGTTCCTTCACCAAGGATGTATCTGAAATGATTCCTGATAAACAGAAGAAAGTGCCATGTACTTGGATTAAGATTCAATTCTAAATAATACTGTACATTTTACCCTCCTCTGACTTGTTGAAATTTTGCATGTAAAGTATTGAAGAAATAGTGCCCAGAGTTACTAACATCTGTAACCCATCCTCCTCCCACTGAGACTTTCCAAGGATTGAGATTCTTGGGGTGATCATAATTTTTTTGAATAGCACAGCCAGAGATTAGTAGCTTCTGTGAGGCAAGTGGAATTGGAGTAATTTAATGTGGTTTCAGTATCCGGAAGTGTGCAGTAATTGAAATTGGCATACTTTCAAGGTAGCATTTCTCTAACAGCAGCGCGTGTCTGCTTTGAATAACCACCTAAGGGTTTCCAAGCTAGTGTTTCAGATTAAACATGAACACACATGGATGATAACTTGGAAATCCCTTTAAAGTACTTTTTTTTTTTTTTTTTAATGGGATTTATGAACATTTTCTTAGTAATTGTTTCTCAATCTTTGGGAGCTACTGACTTGATGTTTGTGCCATTCAAGCGCCTTGAGAATTGTTTGCAACAGAGAGATTGTTTTGCTGATTTATAAAGTTTTGAACTTTGTCTGAAATTGCACATCGGCTTGATTTCCCCTTCCCCAATAAGCTTTCAGCATATTTGAACTGAAAATTGAATTCTGATAGTTTAGCACAACAAACAATGTGTAGACGCTTTAGTGTAATAAACTATGTGATAGGGAACTTGCCCCAGATGAAGAGGGAATGTCCTTTCCAAAGCCAGGACAGTAGCATTTCCAGCTGCGGCTGTGCCAAGCGCAGCCAAGCGAGCCTGCATGATGAAAGCTGAACTTGGCAGAAACTTGGGATCTAGGCTTTGTAAGAACTGATATTGCAAACCCACCCCCTGTGTCATAGGCAAAAACCCAAGTAGCTTTTTAAAGATCAACTGTGATTAATAGTAGTGAGTTTGAAGTTTTAGTCACCAATTGAAAATTTAGCTCGGAAATGGTAGTTTGCTATTATTATTATTATTAATCAGGTACAGGAAGGGAAGAAATTATGGTGGTTTCTGGTTTTTTATTGTAATTTTCTTACCTCCCACTTGCATCATCATGTAGACTTTTGCTTGTTATAGAAATTGTATGGGTTGAGCTTCTGTTTTGTTGTGTGGGATCTCATGTGTAGGGGAAGGTTAAACTAGCTACTGTCCCTTGGCAGTGACTAATATGATATTTTCCTCGTCTCTTTCTCTATTCCATTTCTACCATGAGCTTTCATGTGCTTCATGCACATAGCACACACATACATAAACACAAAGCTGCAAATCATGTTATCTAAACAGAAAACTGAAAGTGTCCAGCGCTACTTGCAAATAGTTTATTAATAATATGACCCCAATTTAAAAAAAAAACAAAAAACAGAAAAATAATTTGAAAGAGAAGAAGAAATGTAACATAGTAGTTCCCCTAACATTCTTGTTCCTTTCCACTTCTTGTCTGTGCATCTGCGTGTGCATTTTCTGGCTTAGATGTATTGTGAGATAAGATAAAATTTCCTATCATTCATTAGTACTGTTTTTGATCTTATGAAATAGTCTCATTTTATAGTAAATGGTCACATAATATTTTATTAACTTAACCATTTCCATATTGTTATACATCCTGTCTCCTCCATTTGGGGCCTATAGCAGATGATACAGCCTTGCTTGCTGAAAGCGAAGTGGACTTAAAATACTTTATGATGCAGTTATTGAGATGAAGCAAACTGTGTTGTTTGTTGACTATAAAACTGATGATCTTGTCTGTAAACTTTCACTCAATTCACAATAAAAAGTTTAAACAAAAACTTACTGATGAAGATCAAAGACTACAGCCTTCAGTATGGTTTGCACTTCATTGTAAAGAAAACAAAAGTCCTCACCACTGGACCAATAAATACCATCATGATGGATGGAGAGAGATTGAAGTTGTCAAAGACTTCATTTTACTTGAATCCACCATCAACAGTCATGGAAGCAAATCAAATGACATATTTCATTAGGCAAATCTGCTTCATGAAACCTCTTTAAAGTGTTCAAGAGTGAAGATGTCAGTTTAAGGATTAAGGTGCACCTGACCCAACTCATGATATTTTCAGTAGTCTCCACATGCATGTGAAAGTTGGACGATGAATAAGGAAGACTAGGAGAATTGCATTTCATTTATGGTGTTGGAGAAGAGTATGAAAAGAACAAACGATCTGTGTTGCAAAAAGTACAACCAGAATGTTCCTTAGAAGCCAAAAAGTCTATGGCTTGACTTTGTCTCTTATACTTAGGACATATTATCAGGAGGGACCATTCCTAGAGAAGAACATCATGCTTGGTAAAAGTGGAGGGAGACCCCCAATGAAATGTAGTACAGTGGCTGCAGCAACGGGCTCAAGTGTAATGATTGTAAAGTTGGTGCAGAACCAGGCAGTGTCTCGTTTTGTTGTGTATAAGGTTGCTGTGAGTCGGAATTGACTCGACGATATCTAACAACAACATAATAATAGCAGATACCTTTGTGCTTACAGCTTTTTTATTTGGGGAGTTAATTTTTAATCTGAAATTAAGTAGACTTGGTGTGGATGAAAGAGTGTGGACTCTCTTTTGGTTTGGCAAATATTGTCAGATTGCTTTCCCTAAGAGTTGTGCTAATTTTTCATGCTATTCCTCTCACCCTAGAGTGTGCTATACCTGTTTTACTTTCTTACCATCTTTAGGAATGTCATTAAAAGAATATACATTTGCAAAATCATTGCATATAAAATGTACCTCATTAAAATATATGAATATCTTATATTAGGTCATTATAATTATGTATCCTTTGGGCCTCTGAGTCCATTATAAAAACTGGTGACCAAATAGTTCCCTTTGGAAACAATATCATCCTCAAGTGAACCATGAGCATAAAAATAGGTTGCATTTTGTATTTTCATTAGAACTTTATATTTATTTGCTGCTAATAATAAACCTCATGGTGTTTCTATGCAGGAAATGAATGCTGAGTCCATTTTTACGACAAAAATTTTCTCAGTAGTGTGTTTTGGACTTTCCTTTATATGTTTAGTTTGACATTGATTTTGGAATTGGTAGGAAAGAAAATGGTTTCCTATCTTTTCCTGTGTGAGTTTTCTATATGAACTTAAGGCAGGGGTCTACTCAGATCAGTAGTTCTTTAGGTTGAGTGTACATCAGGATCACTTAGGTGCTATCCCCAGAGTACCTGATAGAGCAGGTCTAGGATGAGTCTGAAAATTTTCGTAAAACATGTCAGGTTATACGATGCTGTTTGGTTAGGGACCACACTCTTGTGATGTGTTGTTCAAATGGAATCTGTTGTGTCAGCCTCACACTGACTGCTTGTCCAAGCAGGATACACCCACGCCATCATGTTCTGATGCGTCTGTGAAACGTTTTCTCTTTTCCAAGCTAGTTGTTGTTGTTGTTGTTAAATGCATTCAGTTGGCTCTGACTCATAGCAACCCTGTTAAGGGTTTCCGAGGAGCAACTGGTGGATTTGAATCATTGACTTTGCAGTTCAAACCAACATTGTAGTCGAGTTCTTATCCTACAGCGCCATACCAGGACTCCAAGCTTAAGAGGAACCATTTCTCCTTTAAGAGTCTTGTATCTAGGCACTGGCTTTTCTTTCAGTACATTTCACTACTTCCATGGCAATATTCTTTGTCTGCACTCTGTATTCCTCCAGACATATTTGGTTCTGGTACCCAGCTTCAGTGCCGAATGAGAAAAGAACTTTGACCTGAGGATTCTGTAAATAAAAGGTACATCCTAACTGTGGACTTGTGTTGTTGAGCTTTGGTTTGATCCAAAATCTGCACTAGCCCCTGCCAATCATTCTGTGAGTATATACGCCTTGATAGACCCTTCCTCCAGTGTCTCAGTCTTTGGAATCAGAGTCTTTGTATCTCTGTATGCAGAAACCCTGTCATTTGGTTGTGCTAGTACTGTGGTTGTCTGCTCTTTAAAAACTAAATAAAACTAAAAATATTTTAGTATTTTTACTGGTCATCCTTTAGAGCATTTTGACTATAGCATCATCTTTTTCTAGGAACTTACAGTCTACTTCATTTTGTTTAAAAACTAGCAAATAAAAAATTACCTTTGTGATTTAAATGTCATGTCTATTTGTCATTTATATGGCAGGTACAGTTCACTATCACCCATAATCCAGTTCATCTTAAAGGTTCCCAAAGATTA